TTGGACATTTTGTAACTTTGGACATTTTGTAACTTTGGACATTTTGTAACTTTGGACATTTTGTAACTTTGGACATTTTGTAACTTTGGACATTTTGTAACTTTGGACATTTTGTAACTTTGGACATTTTGTAAATTTGGGCTTTTTGTTATCTTGTGTGTTTTGTTATTTGGGTGTTTTGTTTTTGGACTATTTGTAACATTGGGTGTTTTGTTTTCGGGTGATGTGTAATTTTGGGTGTTTTGTTTTTGGACTTTTTGTTTTTGGGCGTTTTGTATCCACTCCGAATTATAAACTCCTGGAAAGATATCTGAATCCCTCCAGTGGAATTATAAACTCCAGATAGATCGTATCAAATGTTATATATTTGCATCACTATAAGAAACTAGAGGGGGAGGGGGGGTCAATTTGACCCCTAGGGTTACAGACATGAAACCAGACGTCAGGATAAATAGCGTTAACAAAAGGTACAAAAATTTATAAATTAGATTTTTCATAAGGTTTTGATGCTGCATATTTAATGGGTTTACTTTTAGTTAATATTTTAATAATGTAATTTTCATTGGAGGCCAAAGAAAATCAAAATTGTAACTGTTTTAGTAAAAAAATGTGCATTTCTAGTTAAATATCAATTCTTGTATGTTTGTAAATTGATTTACCGAAATAAATCTATTAATGAACGCATTTTGAATACCAAATTCAACCATCTTCTAATTGTCAGAATTTAAGAGTTTTAGGTCGTCATTTTAATTTTGAATACCAAATCAGAATAAAACACTTTTAATCTGGAAAACTTATGATATTTAATAAATTATTGATAATATAAAGGCATCAAGGCTACTGTTTTGAATCAGGCATTGCCATCTTGACTTAAAATTATAGGCTTACAGTCCCTTTAGCCCGGGACACTGTGATTGAAAGGTCTCACGCTCTCAAGCAAAGATTAATGAGAATTTTTTCAATTACTTCTTAAAAAACAGCGCTAGCAACAAGTTTTTTAAAGTTCTAAAATCTAAAATAACTCCTTTCTGACGGCATAACATTTAAATTTACAATAAAAAAAGACATATTTTCATCTTTTTAGAACTTAGAAAATTATGACAAAAGTAATTATAGCCAATGTAATTATGGCAAGTGTAACCATTATGGCAAGTGTGACTTATGGCAAGTGTAAATATCTAAGGTCTACGACATCGGGTTGCAAAGATATGGAGATTAAAAATAGATTTTATGGCAAAAACTCAATGCTTTTGAACGCGCTTGAAATGAATATAAATTTAGGCATCGTTAAAAATTCAAGAACAGTTTAATTTCCATCAATTACAACTTTAAATAACCATCTTTAGACCAGTTCTTCTTGTCTTCAATAAAAAAAAAACTAATATTTTTTCCCTAACATATTTTTCCCAAAAGCAAACATTAATATTGAAATATTTTTAGCAAAAAATTGATTTAATTGTAAAAAATATTTGTTAATAGATGAATACTACAAATACAAAATCACCTTAAGTATATATGTGATTAAATTAAAAGCAAACATTTATAAGGATAGTGAAACAATTTTAACAATTATTTTAATTTTTCTTTCACTTTTTCTGAAGAAGTGATGTATGTTGCCACACAGTACAGTTTATTGCAGTGAACAGATGGGTTTAAGATATGGTAAACATATGTAACTGTAAATAAGAAGCAGTTTAAATAAAAAATAAATTTGAAAAAATATAAAAATATAAATATGTTTAGCTCTTACAATTTGATTTTAGCTAGAAATGCGGGAACTGCTCTGTTAAATACCGGAAAATCAACCATCTGTGGAAGACGATGCCTGGCCGCGTTAAACTAGTTCCACAAGATTCAACAGAATGAGATAGAACGGATACTCAAACTGTTTAATCCTCCTTTATCTAGAGAATAATGCAACATCTGTATCATGTTTGTTTGATTGCAGGCCTTGGTTCATGATGTAACTGAATAATTACAGTGTGGCGAGAACACTGTACATAGATAAACATTGTTGTTGTCTTGTCTATCAAAGAAAGCAGTTTGTTATAACTATAGCTATAGCCTGCTCAATATTTGTCTGAGTATACATGATGATACCCTCCTTCAACCCCTTTATCTGTTAAGCCAGCTTCTCAGCAGATTCAAAATACTCTTGGGGAGATGGCTGTTGAAATTCTTGCTTTAACATTTCCATATCAGAACTGGTGAATGTTTCATCCAAACAACAGACAGTTTTTGTATGTTTTCTTTACTTAGAATATTCATCAGAGTTCTGAAAGGAGCAGGAGATCCTCTGAGTCCTTGTATTTGACGAACTCATAGCAGGTCCTTCACCTGTACACTGTTCTCTGGTATGCAGACAACCAGCTCAACACTAGCTCTAAGGGAAACTGAACTAGCATTGTTTATATTATCAGCAAAGAAGAGAACTGAGGTTGATTCTGTGCCTCTAATGTGTGCATACGGAACTAGCAAACAACCTCGCTCAGCAGCAAGAAATTCATTCAGATTTGTAATGTCAAACATATCGACATTTTTCTTCCTTAATTCCTGAAGGAAAATCTCACGCATAGAATTTCTCTTTGTGTAGATTTGTCTGATTTACCTTCAGGACACTTGTTGTCACCATGATCTTCATCTTTTGTAGATTTGTTGGCCATAGCTTTGGAAGATTTGTTGGCTCCATGAGTTTGGGTGTTTGCTGATTTTTTTGGCTTTGATTTTGGGAACTTTCTTTAAATCTTCAACTTTTGTTTGCGTTGATTTGTTGGCAGTTGTGCTGACATCAGAATCTTCAGCTTTCTCAGCATCTGGAGCTTCAGGTTTCTCATCATCTGGAGTTTTAGCTTTCTCAGAATCAGGAGCTTCAGTTTTCTCAGCATCTGAAGCTTTAGCTTTCTCATCATCTGGAGTTTTAGCTTTTACAGCATCTGGAGCTTTAGCTTTCTCAGCATCTGAAGCTTTAGCTTTCTCAGCATCTGGAGCTTCAGTTTTCTCAGCATTTTGAGCTTTATCTTTCTCAGCATCTGGAGTTTCAGTTTTCTCAGCATCTGGAGCTTTAGCTTTCTCAGCATCTGGAGATTTAGCTTTTTCAGCATATGAAGCTTCAACTTTCTTAGCATCTGGAGCTTTAGCTTTCTCATGACCTGGAGCTTCAGTTTCCTCAGCATCAGAAGCTTTAGATTTATCAGCATCTGAATTCTGAGCATTAGGAGCTTCAGTTTTTGTTGTATCAGAGGCTCCAGTGAATTTCAGGAACATTTTGTTATCGTAAATCATAAAAGTTGCATATCTAACATCACTTCGGGTCCTTATAATATAGTCCCATACTGCTTTTTCACACTCATTTCCCTTCAATGCTGTTAGATAAGTATTGAAGAGTATTTTCTCTCCAGGTTCTGTAATTTGGTTTCCCCTTTCTTCCAGTGTTTGTTTAGACAGTTTAGGACCCTCAGGCTTAGTCCCAAGTCTGATTATATGCTCCGGGAACCGTACATTCTCTGATTCCAGGTTCTTGGATAGAACATTCTTCACAAACCTATCAGCAGCTTCTAAACAGGTTAACTCTAGGGTTTCCCCTCTTCCGAAGGAGAAGAACTTTTTAAGTTTGTTCGTAGCTTTATGTTATCTTAGGATTCATGTTTAGACTGAGTATATAAGCAGTTAACTATAGAATTTTCTTTATCAGTAATGTTTGTTTATTTCATAAAAGGTGGAAAAAATAAAATTAAACATAAAACTAATTTCTAAGAAATACAAATTTTATGTATTTATCTATGTATATATATGTAATTATGTATGTATGTATGTATAAAGTAGTAATCTTTATTTGGATGTCCGATCATAATTCATGAACCCGGCTTGACCGATTTGCCTCAAATTTTAATTGAAGAATTTTGTAGAACCACGTAAATTTTCTCAGTTTGGTTTAAAAGTACTAAATTAAGTAGATTGGCTTTTACAGGGAAAACTCCAGGCAAAGTTGGGTTCCCAAGCTAGGATTATTATATAATTATGTACAGTGATGAAAATACATACAAATAAATTTGATTTGCTTAAAAAATGCATTAAGCTAGCAAACTGGATGGTTTGTCAATGTTTATAAAGCTGATCAAAAACTTTTTACGGACAATTTTGTTAAAACAAACAAATGCTTAAGAGTTTAAGAATCAACTATAATAGGTCTTAGATTTCGCGAAATTACGCTGTAACTTCGCGTAATTTCAACAAAAGTATTTCGCGAAATTTTGCAATAATTACGCCTAATTAGCGAAACCTCCATACAAACCAGCCTACAGGAGAACATTTTAACCTTCCTGGACATGAACTCTACCATGCAAAAGTTAGCGTTCTAGAGAAGGTTTGGGACCTTGTGAGAAGTTTACTTTAATTAAGTACGAGAATCTAAATACATCAGAGATTTTATTTTATGACTGATCTCACAGGATTGAATAGAAAAAATATTATTTAATTGTGAACTGTAATTCAGTATTTTATATTTTCAATTATTTTAAAGGTTTAAATATCCCTCCTTTGACAAGCCACCCCCCCTGGATTTACGTAAAAGTTTGTTAATTAGATCGAATTCGTTTCCCTTTTGTCCATTTGACAGCCCATTTAAATATTTTTTAAATAATCTTTTTTGTTTTGTTTATTTTCTTGTGGGTTTCAACATCGATTTTGATGGTTAATTATATCGTTAGAACTGACAAGGGTCAACCGAGTCAACCTAGACCTAAATATGGAATAAAATGTGGAACTAACTCAGTTTGGACAATATAACCTTAGACATATTTTCCGCTATATTCATTTCTGAGAATCAATATGTACTTCACTAACAGCGGATTAGTTTCGCATAACGTAATTACGCCTTAATTACGCGAAACTAGACTTTCTTTCGTATACGTAATTAACACGTAATTTTCGTACACCTTTTCCGTAAGGATGAGGTAGGATGTACAAGATGAGGGGAATGTATAATGTGTAAGGATGAGCGAGGATATATATGGATGAGGTAGGATGTATAAGGATGATGTATTATATATGGATGAGGTAGGATGTATAAGGATGATGTATTGTATATGGATGAGGTAGGATGTATAAGGATGAGGGGGATGTATATGGATGAGCGAGGATATATATGGATGAGGTAGGATGTATAAGGATGAGGGGGATGTATTGTATATGGATGAGGTAGGGATGTATATGGATGAGCGAGGATATATATGGATGAGGTAGGATGTATAAGGATGAGAGGGATGTATTGTATATGGATGAGGTAGGATGTACAAGGATGAGGGGGATGTATATGGATGAGGTATGATGTATATGGATGAGGTAGGATGTATAAGGATGAGGGGGATGTATTGTATATTGATGAGGTAGGATATATATGGATGAGGTAGGATGTACAAGGATGAGAGAGGATGTATATGGATGAGAGGGGACAATGTCATGTCCCAATACAAACCAATATTAAATAACTAACGTCACGTCACTCGCGTTCCTCGCGTCTTCATTCAAAAATTGATAAATTTGTAATTTTATTCAAACTGATTTCAAAACACAACACACTGGTAAGAATAAAAGCTCAATATGAATACATGATCAAATGCAAATCAATGATTAGTGATTACAGACAGATGGAAGAAATCAATTCGATTTCTTTATCTATCCTTTTAACGTTTATAATTCATAATTAATTCAAAAATCACATAATTCTAAAATATAATAATCATAACAGTAATAATATTATAATGCAGGTATACACAAAAAGAGATTAAAAATCTAATAAACTTTGTAGGAAAACGGAAATGGATTCTTGAGAGGAAAGTATCTATTTTAAGAGATTATAGAGAAATTTTTATAAAAAATTCCCAAAAATGCGTTGTAAATTTATTTTTAATTAATTCTTGATTATAAGTTTTGTGCTATGGACAAAATGCATAGTATAACTGGTAAAAAAACGACTTGTTACAAAAAATATCAAAACTTGAAAAGTCTTAAGTGTACCATTGCACCTTGATGTGATTAGCTAAGGTACATACAGTACAACCATACAGTGTGCGTTTATTTACGCGGGGAAATTTCACAGCAAATATTTCATAATTTCTTGATTTCATGTAGGTACACTGTACATGAAGGTCTATTGTTCGGGAGGGGTCTATTTGAGACCACCTAGGGGTGGTGGCGGCGGCGATTTTTTCCGGCGAATATTTCTCCGTTTTCCGGCTAAATCGGATTCTTCTGAAAAGAAAATTATTATTAGATAAAAATGAATTAATGAATATATGAATCATTGGGTCAATGAATGAATGAATGAATAAAGCATGAATATAAAAAACGATTGAAATGTAATAATTAACAAATTAAAAATTAGTAAAAATTTAAATAAACAACCAAAATGTTTAAATGGATGAAGGGTGATTGAATCACTAAATCAGCTAATGAATGAATGAATGAATGAATGAATGAATGAGTACCTGGGAACGAATTAAAAGATGAAATACTATCATCAACTCCATCTAGTGTACTGTTATCCTGAAAATTCTGAAAGGGAGTTGAAAAAATTCATACCGAGAGATTCTTTAAATTCCCCTATAATATATTCTATTCTCTATGCCCGGCCCTCAATAAGCCACCTTTGTTAAAATAATTTGTCGAATAATAATATTACTAATTTCCAAGTTTCGAACAAGGATTTCATCACGAATTGTGAAAGTGATTTGAAGAATTATCAGATTAAATGCCTTTAAGGTACTGTCAGTAAAGGTAGGTTTTCAGGAACTCTTCATTTTGCGTGTTCACGTCCGATTCACAACGGTGCTTTTCAAACGTATATCTGAAGATTACTTAAATAGCCTAATAGGTTACAATGTACCATTATGAATCCCACATGTCAGTCTTTTTAAATGATAGTCACTTAGAGTTACGTTTTCAGTACCTTTAAAATTTGACTGAGTAATTTATAAATGAATAAATAAATGAATGAATGAATAAATAAATGAATGAATGAATCTACCTGGTTCTGTTTAGCAGTATAGTTTGACCCACCGCTGCTAAGGTTTCCAGGTCGCAAATTGGCCGCCATATGGGCCGGTATCGAGTCCTAGGAAAATATCAAGAATAAGCATTTTACATTTAATCTACATTTATGCATGCATTGTAATATTTTCAAGTACATTTTAAATATATGTACTTTTCTGCAGTGTGTACTATTATCGGAGTGTTGGTAAAATTAATAGAAAATAATATTTTACATCAATAAAAATGACGTTTTTAACACCAAATACAGTTGTAAATTTTATGCATTATTGTTTTGAACTATGTAAAGTGTACTGTGTACTCTATGTACTATGTAGAGTGCACTCTATGAACTATATAAAGTGTACTTTTTGTACTATGTAAAGTGTACTGTGTACTCTATGTACTATGTAGAGTGCACTATATGTACTATGTAAAGTGTACTATTTGGTCTATGTAAAGTGTACTGTGTACTCTATGTACTATAGAGATTGCACTCTATGTACTATGTAAAGTGTACTATTTGTACTATGGAAAGTGTACTATTTGTACTATGCAAAATGTACTATATAAACTAGATAAAGTGTACTCTATGTATTGTGTGTACTCAATGTACCATATAAAGCGTACTATTTGTAGTCTGTAAAGTGAATTATATGTACTATGTAAAATGTACTAGTACTATGTAAAGTGTACTCTATGTACTATCTAAAATGTACTCGTACTATGTAAAGTGTACAGTACGTACAATGTAAAATGTCCTATATGTACTGTGTACTGTGTACCTGTTTAACTTGAATAAGTTGTGTATTCATAACTTCACAATCTATCTTCATCATTGCAATATTTCCAGGGGAGATATGAGAGTCTAAATTAATAAATTAATCAATCAACTAATCTACAGTTCTTATTTTGATTAACAAAGAATGATACAAAATTCATTAGAATTTTATAAAGTTAAAAGGTGAGAAATCAAGCAAACTATAAGTTTTCTCATTTCAAACGTATTTTTTTTACAAAATAAAATAAAAACAGACTTCTATGGTTGTCCTACTTTAAATTCAAGATGACTTAAAAAATGAAGCAAAATAAATTAAATCTCTATTTCAGGATCGAGATCAATGAAAATCTTACCATTCAGGGAGAGAGAAATTGCAGGCAGCAGAAGAGACATTCTGGGCCTTGTTGCCTGAACGAAATAATATAAATATTTTGATGATAATAAATAAATAAATCAATTGAACGATCAGACAAAACATGGTACTAGGGTCAATCCATATACATTCGTATTAAACCGTATCAGCCCTAACCTGACTATGGTTTGAGGCTGGAACCAGAAGATGATCCCCGCTGAATGAAACTACGTAGAACGTATCATCTCGTCGATCTATAGCCTAAAAAAACAGAAATTTAATTTGTAAGTTTCATAAAATTGGATCAAAGAATAAGGCGAATGTGTGCCGGGTCTGAGTATTATATTACCACGAAGAATGAGGCGATTGTATGCCGGAGTGGAGTATTATATTACCTCGAAGAATAAGGCGAATGTATTCCAGGGCGGAGTATTATATTACCTCGGAGAATGAGGCAAATGTATTCCAAGGCGGAGTATTATATTACCTCGAAGAATAAGGCGAATGTATTCCAGGGCGGAGTATTATATTACCTCGAAGAATGAGGCGAATGTATTCCAGGGCGGAGTATTATATTACCTCGAAGAATGAGGTCCTTTACCTGTTATGGACTGCAGTGGGGATTTGATCACGTGACCCAAAGCTTGATCGGACTTTTTCCGTTCAATTCCCTAGAAAAAACCATATTGGTTGTTTTCATCAATTTTCAATACACCTTCTCAAAACATATTTCCGATATAGTAAACACCCATAAAACTGTGGAAAAATAATAAGAATGTTAATGGTTTAACTCAAATTATGATTTTATGATACAGCAAAACTGTTTGCTTTGTATCACCATCTTAGATTTGAAACTTTTCAAAGTTTAGTCCAAAATTGTATTATCGTATTTGATTTAAATATTAAAACTCTTTTTGTTTGCATTTAATCTTTTAGAGAGTCGCTTTTTTACAACAACAACATAATTGTATGTATTGAGGTTTGGATAAGCAGATGAAGGTCTGGTTTCTGAGTTCTGTATCTCAGGGTGCTATTGTCCACAGGGAACCAGAGCAGAAAACTTTAGAATGTGATATCCTTAATCCCGATCTGTTAATTAATCTGGAGATTAAATTCATGAGGAGAACAAGCAATATTTAATCTGGAGATTAAGAAAAAGAGGAGATCAAGCATTAATCTCGATATCCACCATTCTAAAGTTTTCAGCTCTGGCTACATCAAAATAGGTAATTTTAATACACAGCTTGTTTAATTGGCGTCTTCCTAATCCACAGCCTATTAGCGACCAAAAGATAGAGTTAAATTCACTAACATCGTCATCAGATAATTTTTATCATTCAAAAAAACGACTCACCTTAGGTTTTGATTTGAAGTCGGGTTTTTTCTTCTTGTTGGGTTTAGAAGCTGAGGCCTCGAGGTGGGGTTTAGAGGCTGGGGCCTCGAGGTTAAACCAGCCTCGTAGTTCGCTTTCAAGTCTGAATATATCATGGTATAATTTATATTATTTTTTTTGGATCACAGCCGTTTCATGAAATGGTCATTCAAGACATTAGGAAAAATTCACATTCTCTAACATTTCTTGAATGCATTTTGAGAGAAAATCTTGAAAATGGAAAATAATCTTTTTCGATTCTTTTGAATAATTTTTATACCTGATGGACTCTGTCTGGTTTACAAACATAGGGCACATGGGTGGAGGGGAGGAGGGGGAGGAGGAGGAGATGTTCATATCTTCAACATCACCATCAAAATCAGGCTGAATATTTGAAAATATAGTTTTTAACTTTGTTTAGGTTTTAATTATCAACCTTTGTCTAGTCTATAATTTTAGGTAATTTTGTCCATTCTTTGTTCAAAATCTAAAGCTATCCATTTTTGGTCTTTTTTAAATTTTTTTAAATTTAGGGTTAAGAAATTTTTTATTTTGTCCTAGCTTTTTGTAATATTTAAGCTACTTTTTGTCCATTCAGTGTTAAAAGGATTGAGTATCATTCGCTATAAATTATCTAATATTGGTTTATTCTAAAATCGTTTTTTTTAAATATTTTTTTTAGTCTAATTTGTGTACCAACTCATGTTCGCTTGAACTATAAAATGCTCCGTATAAAAATCCATGTTCCCTGCTGGCAACCCTTTTCTGGTTTGTTTTTATTGATACATCAGTGTCATAGTCCTTTTTTATATTTATTTTTTAAATGCATTAATTATGCGCTTTAACGATTTTTTTTTTCATCTGTGTAAATTTTTAGAATGTATCAGTGCTAAAAGGTCTGAAATCTTTAATCCTCGACCTAATTGTAAAAAATGAAGAATCTTATTGTCGAAATATATATTATAGTTGCTCATTTATTATATTCACCTGCTCCCAAAGTAAGGATCTACCACCAGCGTGTAGAGGAGGAGAAGGGAAAGATTCTGAATTCAAAGCTCCAGGAGTAGTTTAAAGGGATATCAACGACAGAAATAGTTTAAAGGGATATCAACGACTGAAATAGTTTAAAGTGATATCAACGAAAGAAATAGTTTTAAGGGATATCAACGACAGAAATAGTTTAAAGGGACTGTTGACATAATCTTAACAGACCCTTAAACACATTTTTAAAGAAGAAACTTGAGAAATAATGAAGAAAGCTCACTTACTTAAACTGATGCAAACTACTTGAGAAATGATGTAACCTACAGGGTGTCCCAATAAACATGGGAATTCAGTGACGAATTCGATATAGTCTTTTCAAATAATTCTTTGATTTAGTAAAGTGATACCTACTGAGAAAGCTGTAATCTGTAAGAGTTTCGTCTGCTATGTTCACAATTTGTTTATGTTTTGACTGCATACAGTTGTACTTAGTAAAACATGAAAATTGCAGTATACAAACAGAGTAAACTTGACTGTCTTCACTATACATCTTGCGGAGACGTAATAGACTCATCTTTACAGTCTTTTACCCTTTTCATAAAATAAGCTCTAGCAGACATAATAATGTTATAGCTTTTGAAATTAGGTATTACAGTGCTAATTCATAACAAAGACGATATCGAATTCGTCACTGAATTCCCATGTTTTTTGGGACACCCTGTACCTGGCAAGTGATTAAGCCTTCTTAAAAAATGATGAAATATACTTGAGAGTGATGTAACCTACTTGAGAAGTAATGAAACGTACTTGAGAAGTGATGAAACCTAGTATAAAAGTGATGAAACCTACTTTAGAAGTGATGTAACCTAGCTACGTGAGAAATGATGAAACGTAACTTTAGAAGTGATGAAACCTACTTGAGAAGTGATGAAACCTATTTGAGAAGTGATGAAACCTACTTGAGAAGTGATGAAACCTACTTGAGAAGTGATGAAACCTACTTGAGAAGTGATTAAACCTACTTGAGAGTGATGTAACCTATTTGAGAAGTGATTAAACCTACTTGAGAGTTTTGTAACCTACTTGAGAAGTGATTAAACCTACTTGAGAAGTGATGAAACCTACTTGAGAAGTGATGAAACGTACTTGAGAATTGGTGTAACCTACTTGAGAAGTGATGAAACCTACATGAGAGTGATGAAACCTACTTGAGNCCCCCCCATAAGCAGAAAACTTTATTTGTTAAGCAAACATTTCTAATACACACAAAAAAATTATTTTGAAGAGCGGTGAACTTTTGACAGTTGTGAAAATAAAATTACAAAAATATAATTTTGTTTGAAATAATTTTTCTTTATTTCATGCATCAATGAATAAAAGACATATTGTTACTGAAAACCGTTCAAAAAAATACCTGAAAATTCTAGAAATAAAAAATCTAACAATCAATCAGTCTAACTATCTATCTACCTCTGTAAGAGTCTTGATCTGTGTCTCCAGGAGAGTAAGGTACTCTTTCTTCTTCTTCCTGCTGATACAGGCGGACTCTCTGTTCTTTATCATACGCTGCTGACGCTTCAAATTACGCAGCTAAATATAAAGAAACATTTAATCGTACTGAAACAGGCAAACAGAGATTACTACTTTATATATATATATACACAGATATGACATGATATATTAAGCGTGGCTTACACGACAACACTAATGTAATTATTTAAGAAAACATAAGAAAAAAAACTTGAAAATTTTAATTAATTAAATGTTATGATTTAGGATTTAAAAAATAATTAAATGAGAGAAACCTTGAGTCTTGACTCTTGACCAATGCGATCTTTAGAATATATACATTATATATACAGGGTTATCCACAAAAAATGAGACTTCAGGGACGACTGTACGGTATTTATACTATCCACAAATCCCTGCAACTGTTAACTTGTCTTTTACACATAAAATCCCACAAATACATTTTCGCAAATTAAACAAAGCAACCAACGGAAATGGTGGAAATATTTCTTCTTCTAATTTGGCTTAAACTTGAAAATGACAAAAAATGGCACAGCATTTTTGTTTCAAATAGAAAAGAATTGAATAGAAAAAAGTTAACTTCAGGCAGATACATGGATGTCTCATCCATTCTTGATGAGACAAAGCTTTTAATGATACCGTTGTGAATTGGACATTCCATTCTATAAATGGAGGTTCACTTGAAATTACGTCTACAGTCTACAGTCCCTTCAAGAAGTTTTTCTAGGCGTAAAATAAGGTCTCCGGAGCCGATGGTTTTGTTTGTTTTCCTACCTCTTCAGTATCTCTGACTGTGGAGACTGTGGTAGAACCAGATATAAGGGGGCTAGAGAAGGATCCTTGCAGGACACCATTTCCAGATATACTGCTCTCAGATTTAACTAAATACATGATAAACTTCTCAAAGTGTATAATAATTTTCATCCAGATTACGTTAGATTAAAATAAGATTTAAGTATTTTTTAAAGTTCCACGGGAAACGTCGGGCAGTACAACTGATCACAAATAATTGGCTTAATTATTGTTGTTTACCTATGAGAGGGGATTGTGATGCATAGTATAAACCATCTGATCCAAGCTGCAGTACAATAGCACCACCTGTACGGTAAAATATAAAATACAATTAATTTTTTAGTTTATAGTTGTACATATGTTCAGAATATATAAATTTTGTTTATTTACAAACAAGCACAAACATTTTGAATAAAAATGTTGAAATTTTCTTTTTGAATTTAAATCATCTGTACTATGATATAATCGACACTGGTTCAATATAAGGTCTACAAAATGGCCTCAAAGTGAGAACCAGAAAAAATGTGGAATAGGAAGACGACTTTGAGACTCAAATTAAGATTTAAGATTGTCAAAGGAATATGAAACATGGCAAATTAGCAGTATAAACAGACGATTTCACTTTATAACTGATTTTGAACTATAATGTAAAACTATTTGCTTTGTAACAACACCAAATACAATTAAATGTTGTATTATTGTCGTCTTCCTATTCCACAGTTTTCTGGTTCTCACTGTACCCCATAAACAAAACCAGATTCCCCCAAACCAAGTTTAAAGTAATAATTTGTTTTAATTAAAAGTTACCGTCTCAATAACCCACCTTGTTGTTGTTGTTGAGGTGGAGGTTGGGGTTTCTTGATTTTAGGGATTGCAACTTTCCCCAGTTTATTGGCCTGGGCCGACCAGAAATCCTAAACAGGTTGGGATTAACTCAAATTTGATATTAAAGTTTATCTTAAAAATTAATATGGTTTTGTATCAAACCTCTTGTACGTCCCACATCATATTGGATTGTTTATAGCTCTAAATTGCAATTCAAGGACTAATAAGAAAATTTAAAAAGAATGAATCAATAAAAAAATTCTAAAAGGCAGAAAATACTAGTTTTTTCGGGTATTATGTCTGTATTTTGTCGTTAAAGCTTGGAGATAATCCAATATGATATGGGACGCTCTGTAGTTTAAGCTGTTTGAACCAGACTCCCGGGGGGGGGAGGATATTGTAATTAAATTGTAACCAACCTGTTGTAATATAAGTTGGTTGTTTGAACTGGATTGCTGGGGGGAGGGAGGATAACACAGAGAGATCTGGGGAGAAAGGGGTGGAGTGCTTCTCCTACTGCCATCACTAGAAAACAAATTATAATTAACTGAAAACCTGTAAATTTGTAGTTTGGACATTTTTGCTCTACACCCTAAATTCTCTATACTTAAAATATACTGTTGAAAGTTTAGCACCATTACACTAGGGTTCATTAAACAAATTATCAAATATTTGATCGTAAGTTAATTAATGAGGCACATCCAAGTGTAGACGCATTATGATTTACATTGACGAATTTAGAACAGAAAATCTTTAATTCTTACAACAGTTAAAAATATTGATAAATAGTATCGAAACATTAAAAACTTCAAATCAAATCACGAATGTTGGGGAAGCTTTAGGCTCCATTTCTCAGCCTAGAGTTTCAATTTCTGAATGAGAAATGGGTTTTCAGCCCGGATATAAATTCAATTCTGACTTTTGCAATGTATCTAGTTAAAGATTAAATTCCAATATTTGGTGACGAAATCCCAGCAACACGACCAAGTTTGAGCCATGCAACCATTTTTGGCACCCATTCATTCATGAAGGATCATCATTATGTTTAAATCTTTTTAATTGTTTTCAAAAATTAAGTTTATGCAATACAATTAGGACCTCAAAAAACCGGTCATAGGATTCTGAGATATTTCTGAGAGTCAGAACAACACACACTTACTGTTTTGTTACCCTACTAAAGATGGTTATACCTATGATCTGACCACTAGAGATGGTTTAACCTGTGAGTTAACCCTATTGGAGATTGTTTTACCTGTGATCTGACCTTACTGGAGATTGTTTTACCTGTGATCTGACCCTACTGGAGAAGGTTCTACCTGTGATCTTATCCTACTAGAGAATGTTCTACCTATGATCTGACCCTACTGGAGAAGGTTCTACCTGAGATCTTATCCTACTAGAGAATGTTCTACCTATGATCTGACCTTACTGGAGAAGGTTCTACCTGTAATCTGACCCTACTGGAGAAGGTTCTACCTGAGATCTTACCCTATTAGAGATGGGTCTACATGTGATCTGACCCTACTAGAGATTGTTTTACCTGTGATCTGACCCTATTAGAGATGGGTCTACCTGAGATCTGACCCTACTAGAGAAGGTTCTACCTATGATCTGACCCTACTGGAGAAGGTTCTACCTATGATCTGACCCTACTAGAGAAGGTTCTACCTATGATCTGACCCTACTAGAGAAGATTCTACCTATGATCTGACCCTACTGGAAAAGGTTCTCCCTGAGATCTGACCCTACTGGAGGAGGTTCTACCTAGATCTGACCCTACTTGAGAAGGTTCTACCTGAGATCTGCCCCTATTAGAGATGGGTCTACCTGTGATCTGATCCTACTGGGGAAGGTTCTACCTGTGTTCTGACCCAACAGGAGAAGGTGGAAACCGATCTGAGAACGGAGAATGAGGTTCAGATTTTACACTCTCTCCATACCCACTCTCACTAGAGCTTATGTCTGATGAAAAGAAATTATCAAAAAGATAAAATACTTAACAGTGTTGAATATAATCCAGCTAAGCTCCATTAAAGAATTAATTGAATAAATAAATGAATAAAATAACGAAGTATGATTGAATGAATAAATGAAGGAAATAACGAAGTATGATTGGATGAATAAATAAATGAAATAACGAAGTATGATTGGATAAATAAATAAATGAAATAACGAAGTATGACTGGATGAATAAATGAATAAAATAACGAAGTATGATTGGATGAATAAATTAAAGGATGTTTGAATCAATATATGAATAAATACCTGGAAAGATGTGTGTATCCTGGAATGAATTAAGATCTTGTAATATTTCTTCTTCTAATAATCCGCTCTGGAGTTCACACATTGGATCCAGATCCTAGGTAGGTAGGTAAGATGGTAAGTAGTAAAGTAAGTAGTTAGCTAAGAAGCTAGAAAGGAAGGAAGGAAGGAAGGAAGGAAGGAAGGAAGGAATGAAGNCAATTTTTACTTTATCGTCAAATTCAAAGAGTTTCAACCTGTGTGGGTAACCCTGCAGATATATATGCGCGCAAATAAATAGATAGGTAGGTACATAGGTAGGTAGATAGGTAGGGAGGTAGATAGGTAGGTAGGTAGGTAGGTAGTTTGGTAATTATAATGATAAAGGTTACGAAGACAGGTGCTATCATTGTACTTAGATTTACTCTAAATAACGGGTTACCCACTAAAGATGAGACTTGAATATGACATTCCGAGAATTAAATTTGGTTTAGAGCCTTTATGATAGATCTAACGTATAAAAAATACAAATTGCTGTAGACTTTAGAGAACCATAAAAGTAAAAAAAAAGTATTTAATAAATTCCCTTCCGCCTCATGATTTGTGGGTAACCCTGTATTAGAAAAAAAGGAATGATTAAAATGATAATGATAATAATCAATAACAATGATAATAATAATACCTGGTTAATATCGGTATCCATGAAGGACGGAAGCCCAAGCTCGGCTGAGAGTTGATGGAGAAGGTCGTCATTATCAGACAGCACGTCACTTGTCATGTCTAAACACATAAAACAGGTCACATGTCATGTCTAAACAAATAAAACATGTCACTTGTCATGTCTTATTAAATAAAACATATAATTTGTCATGTCTAAACAAATATAACATGTCATTTGTTGCATCGAAGCAAATATAACATGTCACTTGTCATGTCTTTACACATATAACATGTCACTATTATGTCTAAGCAAATAAAACATATCACTTGTCATTTTTAAGCACACATATAACATGTCACTATCATGTTTAAACAAATGAAACATGTCAATTGTCATGTCTATACACATATAACATGTCACTATCATGTCTAAACAAATAAAACATGTCACTTGTCATGTCTTATTAAATAAAACACGTCATTTGTCATGTCTAAACAAACATAACATGTCACTTGTTATGTCTTAACAAATAAAACAAGTCACTTGTCATGTCTAAACAAACATAACATGTCACTTGTCATGTCTAAACAAATAAAACACGTCACATGTCATGTCTAAACAAATGTAAACAGAAAAGATTGTTATAATTGGTTAAGAAAATAACAGGTTTTAACAATGTAAAAATGTACATCCTAACCTCACAAAATACAAATTAAAGTTACAAATTCCTAAAAATCCCTAAAAAAGCTTTAAAACTTCAGATAAATTTGACTAAACACCAGAAAATACCCTTGCTTTCTACGCCTACCAAAAATGGCTCCATAGATATTTCTAAAGGAATTGAGTCTTTGCCACAAACTCTGATTTTCTAATCACTATCTCTTTGGATTCAAATGTTGCAGACCTTAGATATTTCAAACTATGAATTCTGTTAGATCAAATAATCTGAGTTTGAAATATCAAAGGTTTACAACATCGGGTTCTTAAGATATTGAGGTTTCAATGTTTGATTTTGTTCCAAAGACTCAATTCCTTTCGGTGTCATATCTACTTAAATCATTAATTAATGCTTTTATTTAATATAAAACGAGGGAATAACCTGTACTTTAAAAAACAGTTAAAAATAATTGATGCACTGTATAGCTTCACTAATTGTTAAGACGAGAGAATTGAAGAATATTTAGTTCAATTATGCTAGGCAGTCATTGATTTGGAACCAAATAAGTAGAGCATTATACATAGATAGATAGATAGATATATGGTTAGATAGATAGATATATGGTTAGATAGATAGATATATGGTTAGATAGATAGATATATGGTTAGATAGATAGATATATGTAGATCTTCTAGAGTTTGTTGACTTTTTATTATCTTTTCCATGCTTCATGCACATTGTCAGAGCTGGCTTCATTTTCAACACTATCAGAAAAAATTATATCAATTCAATTAAAAAAGGGAGTTAATGAACTTTTTAAAAGGGGGATGAAAATAAAGTTTAAAGGAACATTTTTTCCTATAAATTCAAACCAATCCCAGTTTAACCGATGTCTGCTTAAAAAAGTGTTCTGCACTATTTGTTGTTTGAATAATACAGAGTTACCCACAAAGATTAAGGCTGTAAAGACGACACCTCTTTATATATGACGGTTCAAAGTTTAAATTGAGTCTTCTTTCTTAAAGATAGACTTTCTATGAAGTGTAATAATTTGGCAAAGAAAGTTACAAGTATATAGTTGCAGAGAATCATAAATGTAAGAAACTATCAGGATTAATTCTGTACAGTAGTCTCTGAAGTCTTATCCTTTTGGTTAACCCTGTATATTTATAAAAACACAACTGAATAACCCTATGGAATGCACCAGAAACTGCAATAGCCTTTGTTTACATATAATAATGTGTACTGCAGTTCCTGGGAGGAAAGTAAACAAAGCTTTGCCTGGGCACCACTGCGTTTGTTTACATCCCTCCCAGAAACTGCAGTACATTTTATTAGTTAACAAAGGTGCAGCACCAGTGTGTTTAAATTTCGCCTTAAACAATATTTTAATTTTGTGTGTTAATTTTTATAGGGATCACTCTTCAATGGACGCCAAAATTACTGATTATTGAGATTAATGAGAACTAAGTAATAAGTTAGCATTTGGTTTAAATCCACTTAAAAGCTTTGAAAAACAAAGCAAATGTAACCTTGTTAACGACAATATATTAAAATATATTTTCATGAGATATCTTTTAATCATGTGAATACCCTCAAAATTTTGCAAAATATAACTAGACCAAATAAAGTTTAAAGATATTATAGTAAAATTGAAGAAGACTTACTTCATAGCAATATAGTGGAAAATTTAATGCATTTGGTTCAAATACTGGTAAAACTAACACGTTTATGAATTCTGCGAATGTTGAACCAAAGATAGTATGACAGTATTTGAAGAACCAGCTGTTAATTAATATTTTACAAATATATACACATTTTATAACACGTTTTAAACATGGAAAAGGAAAATGTAAATATATATATGATTTTTTTAGGAAGCCTCCTATCAAAGTGATAATATTGAATATAGTTTTTTTTGAATATGCAGTTTGAGCCCAGTTGGTATAATATTATGAAAATTTAACCACTTATGATTTTTGTTGTTGCAAAAATGTGTGTTGTTTTTGTTGTACCTATATAGGACGGAGTAAAGCTGTATTTCATTTTTAAAATCCTTCCAATTTCTAGAATCTGTGTACTGTACTGTCTTGTTGTTCTGTACAACCGTCTCGTGGATTTCTTCTTTTTCTCAATTAATCGGAGAACATGGTGAATCTGACCACAGCTTAAATTTATTAAATCCGACAAAAAATTTACGAAAAAGAATGAAATATTAAGAATTATATGAACAAATTTTAGGTGAAACTTCATTTAGAGATTTACGAAAAAAAAATTTCTATAGGAAAAAATTCCGAAAAAAACTAGGTTAGATTCCACGTCAATTCCTATAAGATACTCTATGTTATTTGAATAAAATCAAATTTTTTATTCGAAATGTTTTTACATCGGATATTTAAAAAAAGATTCCTTGTTAGGCCGTGGTCTGGCCTGGGCTTTAAACCCTTTATTAAATGTTTCAACGTCCACCGGTCCCGTCACACTAGGATTAAATTCAACATTGTTTTTTTTTCATTACTTGAATGTTTTTTTCCTTCAAATGTTGTAAAAGTTGCTCATATTTTTTTATTGAAGGCGGTTATTTGCTTGGTTAAACATTTACGTTACAAAAGGTGAATTGGACAGGTGTCAAATCCTAAGTAAAGTTACGATTATTTTTCAAGCTTTTATTTTAAGTTAACACCCCATCCATATTGTAGCTTTTAATCAAATCAACATAAAATTTATTCATCAAGTTATTTTTACTTCACGTTTTGTTGAGGGGGGCGGAAAACGACATTTTTTTTTGCTTCAAAAAGAAAATGCTGTTTTAACCACAATAGGAAAATTTGAAAGGAGAATTATTTTTACGGCGATGAATACTTCTCAACTGTTCTATTGGAACTCTTCTCCTACTAATAAGACCCTTCTAAATGATTCAAGACAAATGTTAAAAAATATTGAATGCCTTAGAATTGCAGAAACACTAGGGGTCGGCGGTAACCTTGACAGTTGGGTTGTTGTTGTTAAATTTGCTGTTGTTTGGTCGTTAACAGACTTAATTGTTGTTGAAGGGCTGCATGTCTCTTGGCTGTTTTCAGATGAAATGGACGTTGAAAAAACTGATTCGGGTTGGTTGTTACTTAATTCAACTGATGCTACTTGGTCGTGAACGGTTTGAACTGTTGTTGAAGTGTTTGCAACCGCTAAATAACTATTGTAGTTCCCTGTTATCCAGCTGTAATCCAACCTATCTCTAAATTGGAACGTGTCGACTTTTTATGACAAGAAAAGCATGAGAGCATGGCTCTGATATTGGGCAACTAAAGAAGGAAAGGAGGTAGAATACTAGATATTAATTATTAATTTTAAACCGAGGTGCCATGTTGTCAGTTTTAGTCAATAAACTTCGTATTTGAAGTGGGAGCGTGTGGGGGTGAAACTGTTAACATCGATGTTTACATTACTGTGTACTGTATTGTCAGGACCATATACAAAATACAGATTCATTTTTCCCTCCCTTGCCCGCAAAAATGATCTATTTTTTAAATTTAAAACCCTAAATATGTTAATATATATTCAACTAAATATCTAAAATATGTAAAAAAAAAATTCAACAAAATGATTAAATAATAGAAAGTCGGACGAACTAACTCAAAATCTTGAATATTCACAACACAGTCAGAATTCATCATTATCGCATTTTCTTTCTTAAATAAACAACAAATAACAATAATAATTTTAGCAGTTGGAGAGGGAGGGAGGGGGATTGATAACCTTCTTCTAGATTAAAAAATGTCTGGATTAAAGTACCCCTCCATTTATAAAGTGACATGTCCGCTTCACAACGTTGCAATTGAAACTGCTGTTTGAGTATCAATGAGAAAGAAACCGTCAAATTTTATCAAAGAAAGAGGTTGAATTCTAGTTATTTCCTAAATGGCTTTAAAATCATAGAGAATAGAATATATAGAGAGGAATTAAAAGAATCTCTCGGTATGAATTTTTTCAGTCCCTTTCAGCCTGAAAGGGAGTTCAAAGTGTACAAATCATGTAAATGTTCACAAATTATATGCAGTAGAGTACATTGATACAGTTTGTTCCCTAGACTATCCATTTCAATTTCGAATTTTTTAAACTGTTAATTAAACTTTATAATGAATTAGGTGAATAAAAACATCATTTGATTTATAGTTATAACGGAAATTCATCGTTTGTAAAGTGGAAGGCATAGAGTCTATGTGAAATGAACATTGGTCAATTATGAAACCAGCCTATTTCATAATTTGGTTTTCTTTTAACAATAATTTTAGATTTTCTATAAAATGATATTCCAGAGCCCAACAGGTTATATAGCATAAATATGCGAAGTACACCTGCAGTATGGAAACAGTACAACAAAATGGCCGTTTTACACTTTTTTTCTAGTAAATTCCTCTCTATATATTCTATTCTCTATGTTTAAAATATAATTAAGCACACTTTTTTTTTTAAATAATCAGTTTTTAGATTGGCGAATACGGATAATTTGTAAATATTATATCAGACAAAAAAATAAAAGGGTACCATTATGAATCGGACCATGACATGCTACTCCATAAATTAAGGGCCCCTGGAAATTACAACAATTCCAAGATACGGGAGTGTGCGCGGTTATTGTGGGTACGCGCGAAAGCATAAAGGCAATGAACTGGAAGAAGCGCGGAAGGAAACTAAAGAAAAGTGCACACCGGCTTTGCATAGAGATAAGTTAGATAGATAGATAGATAAGGAACCGTAATTATTATTCACACAGACAGATAGATAGATAGATGGATAGAAGATAGATAGCTTTGGTTCCGGATTTATGCTTATGTACAGGTGCACGTTACAGGTATAAAGACAGAAGCAGACCAATTACTACATAATTTAATGGATAGATCAGACACACCTATTGATAGGGTAGATATAGAAATATATATATGAATAGATATAGTATTATACACCTTGGAATAATTAATATACTTGGTAAAGAGAATTTACGTAAAGTATGGGCGGATTTTTTTTGATATCCCACCCGCCCATTAAAAAAAAAATTCTGAATTTATAACCCTCTTTTTTGATTATGCATGTATTGAATATCTACAAAAAGAAAAGAATCTATCTTATAATTTATATCAAAACTTAAATGTGGTAAACGTTAGAATAGGAGACAATAAAAAATATAATTCTCAAGCAATGAAAGAATTAAACAAAAAATAAAACCTCTGAAGTCTGTCGATTTCTCCATGAATTGTAGTTTTATGTTGTTACTAGGTGCAGTGCATTATGATTTAAACATTTTGTCCATTTAAAATACTTTTTTTTGATCTTTATTAATTCAAAAGAACGCTAAAACCGTTGTAAAATTCAGATTTTGTGACTTTAAAACCCAGGGAGAAATTGATTTACAATTTATGCAAACATTATTTCAAGACATCGAATGGGTCCAATTTCAGTGTTGGGTATAAAATGGCATCGGTGGTGTTCTTTATGTTAAAGGGATTACAGACATGAAGTGATTCACAAAGGTAGGTACCTATGTACGATCAAATATACGTGAGATATCCATCTTTTTCTTTATTAAAATTTATTGTTTTCAATTGTGTTTCAGAAACAATGGAGAATATTGTCAGAATTGAACACTTTATCAGAGAAAAAATGACAATATGTTTCAAATAATTGAGATGAGAAAGATTAAAAGGGTACTTTTGTGAATCAGACATGCTAATCTTGATATGGAATGTCACTTTAAATTTTACTGTCCCAAATTTGTGACTTGGCGAGTTTATCGCTATAAACAAGAGGGGCATCGGAATTTCATGACATTATAGCCCCCCCCCTTGCAGGTATAAATGTAGATATGTAGACATTTCTTAGTAAAATAAAATTCAAATTACTTCCATAGTTTTTTTTCCCATCTATCATGGATATGATTTTAAATAAAAAACATTCAATTTTTATAGGATTTTCTGTTGACAGACAGGTAGTCTCAAGAAAAAAATACAAATTTCTCGATAATGATTTTTGATTTGTTACAGTAATTTGAATTTGTTTAATCATGTCATGATTTATGTACGATCATTGCAGGTCTTGATTCCTGACAGGTGATAATTTCGTAAGTACGGTACCAGATTAAATTAAAAGTAGTTGACCTATGCAGCTACCAAATTGAACCATGAGGAAATCATATAAAACAGGCGCTCATAATAGAATTAACTGGACCGGAGGTTCGTGGTTCAAATATTTCTCACTTAACTTAAATTCTGATTCCAAAACTACCAAGTCAATTCACTGAAAAACTCGTTTAAATTTTTTTGTTATAGTTATATTCAATATACAATTAATTATTTCATCACCTTAAAAGTTAAAACTAACTACATAAAATAAAATATGTTATAGTTATATCCGATATACAATTGATTATTTCATCACCTTAAAAGTTATCCCTAACTAAATAAATAAAAACTCCTATCTATACGCCGGTATATTCCTAGAGAACAATTTTTGGACCCCCACCCCCCACCCCCTCCAAAAATCGTTCACTAGGACAGACCCCTATACGCCTTTAATATATTAAATTAGAAAAAGATTACTCCTAAATCTCTTTCAACATTTATAAAAATGTGATTTCTTACCTGTTCCGAACATCATGCTTTGCTCATTTTCATCATCTAGATTTCCCAAGCTCGAAAAATCACTTTTCATTATTTTCTTTCAACTTTGAGCTTTCTTTTCATCAATTTAGAAACGCTTACGCTTTTTTACTTTTTATCAAGTTGTAACACCGGTGTTTCTTAACTTAATATTGGAACTGGATACAGGCTGATCTATTGACAGCTTTCTCCTGCTTTCCTGGCAGTGGATGATGCAACTGTTAATTTCATAATTTTTTTCTAGAAACAATGACGAATCAAAACAATTTTGAATGCATTTAAACAGAAAACTTCTATTTAATCATAAGAGTATATTAAAGTAAATAGATATTATGACGATTTTTCAAACTTAAGAGTTGCAGCATCCACCTGTCGTGGCATTTAAACCGCAGCATAGCTAGGTTAGAGCTGAACAACTACCCGATGTAAAATTATGTAAGGGGAGTTTTACTCTACAGAGGTTTGGTCCATCGGTGACATGGAAACGCCTCAACACGGAAACGCCTCAACACGGAAATGCCTCAAAAAACAGAATCATAAAACTAATTTAATGTCGTCTTCTCTCAAGTTAAAATTAAAAAGACTATATTCTACTGATTTTCACAGCCATGGCCGCAGCGCTCGGTCTCCTAGCCTGTTCTAGCCGTAGCGCACGGCCCCCTAGCCTGTCCTAGTCTCAGCGCTCGGCCCCCTTATAGCCATCTTAGCCACAGCGCTCGGCCCCCTTTGTAGCCTGCGGCGCAACCTAACTTACCCTAAATTAATGGTAAAATAATTGTTAAATTTTTTTAATGTTAGAAGACGACATTAAATTAGTTTTATGAGTCCGTTTTTTTGAGACATTTCCGTGTTGGGGCGTTCCATGTCACCTGGTCCATCAACATCACCGAGTTTTTAAATCAGATGTTCACAATAATTCCCAATCACTATTTAAGCTAGGTAAATAGGAAAATGGGCGACTTATGACATTTTTTTTGAGGTTGACAAAATTTCATATTTGAATTAGTAAATACAACTTTAATGTAAATATACTTGGAATACCTAGATCAATATGAACATGCACATATGTATAGCTAGGGGGGGGGGAATGGGAATGTATAAAATTGAATAAATGAACGTTATTGGACAAATGAGAACGTGAACAAATACATAAATAATCATATACACAAATTAATGAATAAACGGTATTATAGAAGAAAAAACAAGAAATTCGAAGACAAACTTTCTTGTTAAGAGCGGCATATCATACATATGCGGCATATGTACGATTCCACAAAGACACCATTAAAAGCTTTTTATGATCAAGTTTAAATTGGATTTCCATGTTTTTCTAACTTAATTAGAACAATGAATAAATCCCAAGCTAACATTCGATCTCCGCCGTGTTTTGGTCTCTGCCATGTCGTATGTGCGAAAGCGGAGAGGTTTCTATACCTCCATAGTATGTACTCCAAGTCCCCTCCGTGCTATGGCGAAGAAATTACTACACCGCCATAGTATATATACTCCAGATTTCCGCTATATCTCCTCTTTCGTAGGTGCGATGGCGAAGTAATTGTGTACCACCATAGTATATACTCCATCTCCGCCATAGATACTCTGTCGAAGGTGCGAGGGCGGAGTAATTATGTACCTCAATAGTATATACTCCATATTTCTGATATATCTCCTCCACAGAATGAACGTTAGTGCGAATGTACGTTAGTCCGATCAATCATTAGTGCAAACGATACGACACCATTCTCTACACCAGAAAGACGACATTAAAGCAATTTGTATCAAGTGTATTTGATGTTATAACAACACAATTGGCCTTTCTTTCAGTAGCCTAAAATAAAAAAGTGAAATGATCAGTGCACACTGTACCATTGTTGTGTTTTATGTTCATCGAACTACAGTCAAAACTTGAGTTTAAAAGTCGTCTTCCTATAATTTCACAGTTTTCTGGGTCTCACTGTAATAATGCAGGGACACATGTATGTATGTATCGAACCATGATACCAATACACTTAAGTTTTTAATCAAAAAGCATTTAC